GGGAAATCTGCATTTCCAGGCCGAACCGGCTTTTCATCGACCAGTTGCGGCCGTTTTTAACACCGATGGACGGAATCGCAGGATTCGAGCCTCGATAACGGATTTCCCTTAATTTGTTAAAAGGGAATACGTTAAAAGTAAGTATTCATGGAATCCATCCCCTTCAGTGATCGCAAGGTTCTGGTAAAATTCCGATTTTGAGGGTAGTTCACAATGTATAAAAAAAATACCAAATTAGTATATCAAGTCTGAATGACTTCTGCATAAATCTTGCGAAGTTGGAATTATTTTATTTGGTTGGGCATGGGGGAAGATGTATATTAATTAATTGGTTCTCGATCGATCGGAGGGATCGCAGGGATTTTCGGGCCCGTCTGGAATTTCGTCCCCCTGCACTTTCCTCGGGGTCCTGCGGGATTCTCCAGGGTCCCAGGACATACGAGAGTCCTCGGCCTCCCCTTTATTCGGCGCTCCCGTATTTTATCCCACTTTTTCCCGGAAGCTGGTGGAACTTATCAGCGGGGGAGGCACAACCCGGTGGCCTAGGAAGACAAGGAAGACACCCTAGGGAAGGTGTCTCCCTATCCCGAGGAGAGCTCCCCGAAGCTTGGGATCCTGTGAATCGGGCGCGCGATTCCTCGCCTATCCGGCGCGTCCCCGTTCCCCCAGGACCCGGGTCCTCCCGTTCCCGGAAGCCTCGACCCTCCTCCTGGCGCCCTGGTACCGGAGTCCCGGATTTTCGGGTAAATTGCAGTTTTTCTGGCCAGCCCGCGGGCACCCCGGCGCACCTGGATTTCGACAGGTGGGCGCCACTCCCGAGGAGGAGGCCCCCCCGAATATCCGGGACATCCGGGATATCCGGACCCTCCCCCGCCTCGCGGGACGTAATCGAACCTCTCCGAGGGTCCTCCCCTAGCAGGGCCTTCCGGAATTTACGGAACTTCCGGGAACCTCGCGGATCATCCCGGACCTCTTGCTCCTCCACTCCTTTTTGGTCCTCTGCCAAGATCCTGCAGGAGCCTGGCTCTTTCGCTCTGGTCGCGTCCTTTTTCTCCCCCTCTTCCCCTCTCTTTCTCTCTGTCCATTCTCCACGATCGAACCTCGAGGATGTGTTGGGGTGTCTGCGTTCCCTCTCTATCCGTGTTTACACCACACCACCACGCCGGATTTATTGTTTCCCACGGTCCTATGTGTGCGTGGGCGACCTCCTCCGTGTGGGTATAGAATTTCCTGGGCACACGTACTTGCATCCCTGCACAGTGGTTCGCAAAATTCCTGGCACGGGGTATTTTCATTCCCAGAATTTTCCACTCTCCAAAATCCTCCTTTTTGCCCCTTTGTTTTATCTTTATTTTATTTATATATTTCCTACCCATGACGACGTCCCTGATTTTTTGTCGGTTCAACTTTTCACCAAAAAATCCCATTTTCGAGCAGCCCACTCGCTTCATGAATTTTTATCATCCCCGGGCTATTTTTCTCCGTGATTCGCGACGTCGCATCTCGACGTGCATCACGGACAGGTTAGCGTTATCTCCGCGCGAAATCGAGAACCGATACCGCGGTGCGGATCGATTTATTGTTTTCCACGGTCGTGGTGGCTTGTCACAGAGTTTATAAATCTTTCGTTAGGTATTATTCCGAGCGGTCCATCACTCCATATCGGCGTGACCGCTTTACGGAACGCATCTAGTTTCACCGTGGACGTAGCCTTCATTGATCTATCACCGGGACACGTAGATTATTTTCAGGTGCAGAAGCTGCATCTTTTAAGTTATCTTTATTCCTAACCTGATAAGAAATTTGGTACTTTTTTTTTTTTTCAAAGGATAATGTACATTAATGTGTATATAGGTAGAGGTAAGGCGTTTTCCTGAGGTATTGCATATACACAAATTAGCATTTTCACGGGAAAATGTATATAGGGGAGTGCACTCACACTTTCACATAGGGAGTGCCCTCAAATTTCCACATGGGCAGTGACGAGAGCGTCCCGCTTTCCGCCGATTTCCGGGGATTACGCGGAGGGAACTCTGTGGCAGTTTCCCTGGAAACCAGGAATTTATGCGATGGCCAACCACTCCCTCGGGACTGGGGCGAGACAGGGGAGGAGAGGATTTCGCCGGTAAAGTGGGAAAAGAGAGGAGGGAATCGAGCTTCGAGCCGCGAAAAGCGCGAGACCCGCGAAAATCGCGGAAAATAGCGGAGGCCACGAGCTAGGATCGCATGAGACCTCAGAGGAGGTTTTCCTTGGTCCGAGGAAATTTTTCCCACTCTCTAAGGGGTGGATTTCCGATTACCTTGCTTTAAAAAAATTCCAAACTATCAATAATTATCGCGTCTAAAAATTTAACGATCCCGGACTCTGAGCAATTTTCAATACACGAGGGTCCTGCATGAAAGTTTGGACATTGTCAAAATGAAAAATAAAAATTGTTGAAAGTCATTGTTAACCGTAATTCAGTTTTTCCCTGATTATTCGCTCCATTAAAAAAAAGTAAGAAAAATTCCTCCCAAGGAGCGGTCGCGATTAATCTCTTGAATGAAAATTCATTTCTACCGTACTCCAAAAAATGTTCTTCTCCCTCTTGTCGGAAATTCGCAATAAGGATTCCGTGGGTTAGTCCTGAGGGCGATAAATAAGGAAGTAGGAGGGAGCCTCGATATCGCCAGGAGCCCTTCCGAGAGCAACGACCCCGGACCCCTCTCCTGTGGGAACGGTCCTCGACGTCCCGGCACGTCCCGGGGGAAGAATCGTCCCTCTTCAATTTGCTCCCCGGGGAAGGACTTACCCAGGGGTCTTAGAGAAGTCTTGACTCAATTTTTCTTTTACTCGGCGTTGCCGGCACGTCTGGGAGTTTTCCCGAGGGAGGAGGACCTTCCCTCGCGAAACATGGAGCCCTGATCCCGAGGGAAACTCGACCTCGTGGCAGCGGGATTTCCTTGCGACAAAGACCCCAAGCTTTGCCCAGGTTAGGTTAGGTCAGGGTGGAAACTCGACTATTCTGACCCCCTGATATCTCGTGGGCAGATTTTCGGACGAGAGCGCCGCTTTTCCGGGAAAGCCGCACCCCCGCGTCCCTCGGGAACCCCCGACGACCACCCCCTTTTCGTTTGACTTCCCTGTTAAAGGACTTTTTGAGTCCCTCTTCGAACCAACGTTTTCACGGAAAATCCATTTTCCTCTATCTCGCATTTTCCTCTTAGTTTCCGTAAATAATTCCACGTCTACGAATTTTCCTGCGGGATGATTTATCTCTCCCGAGAGGATGAATCCCGTTTTCCTCGATTTTCATACAGTGGATAATTCCGGAGGGAATTTATCCGAGTCTGGAATGAACCCTTACCCGTAGGCGTAGATACGCGTCCATACGGTCTAGAATCGCTTGCACGTGCCGACGAATTTCGCCCATACGTCGTTGAAGGCTCCTCGATCGAAAGGTTAAATCTCCACGAGATGCAGCGGATGCGAGTTGATCGATGCGGCGAAAAACGCGCGGATTTCCTCCCGTCTTCCTAGAATATCTGCCGCCCTGGTGCATCCGGCCGGGATTTTCGGGATGGTTTTCCGGATAATCGGTTTCCCGTACGAGGGGAACTCGAGGGAGCATTTCCGGGTCGGCGGGAACACCTCCGCATTTTGCGGACACCCTAATGCACCGGGTGGCGGCGTCTGGGGTCTGTCTCCCTCGGGAGACGGCGTCCAGGATCCCCAGGAATACCTCGTTCAACAAAAATCCCGCAATACATTGAATCTCACCAACAAAATGGCCCTCTATACCTGAACGACATCGACAAATGTCTCCATTCCGAGGAACGGAATATAGGCAATAGATTATCCCGAATTGCCCCCAGATACCCTCCCCGATTTCAGAAATCAAATTACAAATAATCCACCCATGCTAAAATAACAATAAAAAATTAAAAACGCCAGGTACAGGTTCATGTATATGTACTAAGGTGTATTAAAAAAAAAAAAAAAAAAATCCAGAGGATTCTGTATGCGTTGCCAGGAAGTGCATAGGGTCTTCCTCGGGTTAAAACGTCGATACGGAGGGGTTGGCGTGGATCGGGTTCGAAAAGGACTTTGTCGTCCAACAAGGCGCTCGTCGGTTGCTAAGTGATTAGGGCTGGTTTTCGCAAGGGTGGGAAGCGAACCGGATACCGGAGAGAGCGGAAAGAGCGGAGGGACTGTCTCATCTAGCGTTTCCAGCATAGCATGGCTCCTATCGGTTTTTCCAAGCGATTGGAGAGCTGTCGGAATCGCCGATAAGGTTCGGAAGCGAGTGGGCGAAGAGGCGCGTCAAGATCTCGGCAAAGAGCAGGAGTGCAAGGGAATGCAGAACGAGGCTGCGGTTACTTAATTCCGCGCCCATGGCGGAAAATGTGTCAGCCGTGTATTTCCGCATGCACCGAATCCGGCACGGTATAATCTCTGCTCGTCGTCGACTAGCGGCTTAAAAAACGCGCGGCGTGCTTTCCCCTCGTGCAAACAACTTGCCGTCGCGATTCCGGGCCTCTCGTATCTTCCAGCCATTGTCAGAGTGCACGTATCCGCGCATTGTAATATTTAGCGCATGTCTTTTTGCGTTCCGTGCATGTCGCGCCTATCGCGAGGTATCTCTTATAGAACGCGATTTTCAGAGGGTCGAGGGTGATAGGAAACGGAATAGAGATTCGTAAGGGGTGTTGGGGTGAAAAAGTGAATTTTTCTCCCTAGGGCACTTCTCCCCTTTTCGCTCCTCCCGTCCCTCTTCGCAGGAGGTACTCGCCGCGTGGGTTTGCGAGGCACTCTGCGCATGCGCGCGAGGGACGCGCATGCATATGAAACGCGAGTGGTGTGTCCGCCGCGTGACGTGGCGAGGTCGCGCAAGGCGAGCAACCTCACATACACGGGACTCGTCGCCCACACGGGCGCGCGCATGCGCGGCTCGACGAGTAGCCGCGGCCCGCGCTTATTAAGCCGCGCGCGCCTCCCCCGGCCGCACTTCCCCGCGGAGCGTGGACCGGGGAACACCTAGGCGGCCTAACTCGAGCGCGGTTATATAGAGGTATCCCAACCGGTAACTCCTGTTCGCGGGCCCACGAGGATAGAAAGGCGTCTGGTGGGTACAGACTGTTTTCTACGGGGCAGTTTGCCGCAGCAATGCGGGAGTACTGGGTAACGCAAACCTCCCGACTCTTCGTGTCTGGTATCTAATAATTATGCATTTTAGGTGGAGTTTCCTAAAGCAGATTGGAGGGAGATTTCAGACTCTATCAAAGGTGAGCTCTTGAGCCGATAGTGACTAAGTCCCGATAATCATTATTGTATTTATCTTTTATCGTTTAAATACACCACTGAAGACATCTCGCCTTTTGAATAATTCCCCGCTACCGGTCTTTTCCATAGTGACAGTTTTAAGGCCCCACGCGTCCGGTAAAAGTTACATTACCACTTCGGCAAGGTCACTGGACTTTGACTACCGGCACATGTAACTCGCATATCCCCGAGTGGAATGGTTTCCCAAGTGTCGGGGTTTACCTCCACCCTGGGAAATACGTATTAAATTAGTCGCGGCGAAGTGTAGCCGCGAGGGGCGAAACCACGGGCGCGCTCTTTCGTTTATCGTCCCTACGTACACCGCACACGTAGACGTACTTTGTCGTACCTACGTGAGAACTCGGCACGAGGAAACGGGGGACTTCTCGTAGTCCCTCGATTGCGGTGCAACGATATATTTACGATCTCGCTGCACCGTTCGTACGTCCCAGCTGTGAGCGTATCTTAGTAGCCCGTAAGTTCGAGCCAGGGCTTCGGAAAATGATCTAATGGGGTTGGATTTTATTTCGCCCCTCACGCACACTTTGGACGCGAAACCTATCTTCGAGGACGAAAGATCCCTCGTTGTTTTCCGACCGAGACGATGTATTTACGACGTCGTCACTCCGCTCGTATTTTCCACCTGGGTACATATCGGAGCGTGGCCTGTTGCGACTGCATTCCGTATGCATATAGAGTCATGATAAATCCCGTCATCTATGGCGGAACGTTATGCACGATTGTCCGCGAGTGATACCTACGTACGGATTTACGAGGGTCGCGCTGGAAACGAGGTATGGAGAATCTCGATGAAAACCTCGCCCTAAGGAAACGTCCTTCGCGTCGTGGAGGTTCGCCTTAAGGATCGTTTCATACCCTGCGTCCTTAAGGCGCCTCGACGTGGCGAAACAAGGAGGGCCTTATGGCGCGCACGCAGAACCGAGAGAGACGGACCGACCGATCCGAGTAAGAGGCTGGAATGCCGGGACGTGGGACGATCGGTGGAAACTAACCTGCAACTCGCCCACGCGACTTCGGGAGAAATTGAAATTTAAGCCTGACCGAGAATGCCGTAATGCGATGCACTCCGGATTTTTTCCCTCGAGATTCCTGTTCTCGACTCGATAGGTCGTAGAAACGCACCGTCATAGAGGTGGGAAATAGATAATATATGCTAAGTAGCATTAAGGGTGTACTAAAGTCCTCTGCCAGGTACCCAGAAAAAGCAGAGCACGCTTTCAACGCGTTTACACCCCAGATTAATTATCCCCCCAGATTTTAGGTAGCTTTTAATCTCGCACCTCATATTCCAAAGTTAGTGGGACATATATGACATAAATGCGCGGCAACGCTCCTCAGAAAACATTGAACGATGAAAGCACGGGTAAACACGACCCAAAGTCTCCAGTTTAGTTGCAGCACGCACGTTAGTTCCACTAATTAGACTGCACGAGTGTGGCTGTAATACAAGCCGACCTTGCCCGCTTGCTTAGCACGCTAACAATAAGTGAGGATAAGACTCACACGGCATGCTAATTGCGAGTGATAGGCGAAACTGACGCAAGTGCGAGGTGCATCCTTGCGAGACCTCATTTGTGGCACCGGAGTGCTTTTCCCATGCAACGTCTTAAATCCCCAAAAATTCTCCTTAATACCTACGTTTATGGCGTATGTCTTAAAGAAGATTTAATATTAAGCGTATTTTACGTTCCGACGCCGGGACAGACAAAATAGTAATATATATATAATAATCTCGCTGATGAATCGGTTCCCAAGATTGTGCGTCTTCTTTCGCGATCCCACGGGGGATCGACCCCGACGGAAAGGAGGAATCCTCTCTCGAGAACGATTCGGCCGTTCGAGTGGTCGAAGGAACGGCACCGAACGGCACGCGAGATCCCGGGAATGGCGTCGTGGCCCTCTTGTCATTGACCCTAGGCTCACCTCGCAACGACGCGGCGCCTTGACGTCGCGGAAGCGGAAGGGAGGTACGGTCAGCGGCCGCCAGGTAGCGCCGCGAGGCCTTGCGGCGCCTCCCCGAAATACGTGTATCCGGCCCCGGGGGCGAACTCACGCAAATAATTCAGAAGTCCCATAGAAGCCCAGATCCTATGTTAGCGCTTGATGCTCTAAAAGTTGGCTAACAAACCAGAAGTGGGGGTAAAAAAGAGATCGCACGTGTTAGCCAACGATATCTCACGTACGGGAGGAAGAGAGACGCATATAGAAAGGCGAGTATTGGGTGTAAGATAAAGAAAGAATGCAATCGCTATATATCGCCATAAGATTAAGAGAGATGGAGAGATGATTACAGCGCCGCTATTCGTTGGCTAACGTACTATTTATCGAGCATCGAACGTCCGTATCCTTCTGGGCTTCTATGGAGACTTCTGAATTCTTTGACTCACGCCACTCGCGTGATTTTATCGGTTCGCCCCAATTCGACAAGGAAAAAAAAAAATTCCATAAATACATAAATACCCTAACGATGAATGATACATAATAAAGGAATTAATAAAATCCCGGGATGCGACAAATAGTGCCGGGAAACGTTTTATCAATTTATGCAACCCCCCACTGTACGGCTGGGGGTATATTGAGTCTGCCAGGAATTCCGGGATTTCTCGGCCGAGTTGCCCGAAGGCCCTGCAGCGTCTCCGCCACGTGGGCGACACGTGGCGGAGCCGAAGCAGGCGGACCCGAGCTACCGAGTTTCCGTTGCGAAAGTGCGAGGGAACCGTGACCCCTTGGGCCGTTGCGTAAGGATGAGGTGGCGTGCGAGCTCGCCGATTTGCGGAATCGGCCGATTTATTCGCTCGTTCGATCCAAGCCTGCCCCTCGATTTTTCCACGCTCTGTCGGCCGCGACCCCTCGCCGTGCATAGGTAATGCCTGTCTCTCAACCTGGAACCCGTACTCGGCGACTCCTCGCGTTTCCTATTCGTCCTATCCTGTACTCGTCGGAAATCATTCCGTCCAAAAGAGTTCCAGTCGATCGTTAACAATTTTTACAGGAATTATATGAAATTAGACAGAATTAAATGACTATGTCTAAAAACGTTCCAGTCGATCGTTAACAATTTTTACAGGAATTATATGAAATTAGACAGAATTAAATCATTACGTCCAAAAAAAAGTTCCAGTCGATCGTTAACAATTTTCACAGGAATTACATGAATTGCGCGAGTCTAGCTTCCTTAAATCAATTCTTTACGAGATATCGATTTTCCCCGAATTCTTATTTTTTACTTGCGCAAGCAGTCCGTTAATATCTATGGTTAGTTAGAGAAGTCGAACCGTGATGTTTTACGGAAACGTCCAATGTTACCCGGCGATAAAGCTGCGAAGCGACGTGCAGGGAATCGCACCTCTCGAATCCCGAATTAACTCAATCGGGAACGGGCGGTGCAAGCTCAAGTAGATCGGAGGAGATCGAATCGTATCACGCATCGATCGTTGCAGACGGACGTGATTGCGTTTTTCGGGCCCTCCCTCCTCCCGCGTCCCTCTCGTCCGCTTTCGCGAATTCCGCGATAAGATACGCGGCTCGGAAATTCGATCTGATTTCCCGAACAAAAAACACGGAATTTTGCTACATTCAATACACTCCGGGAGATACAATGATAAATTAATTGCAAAGAAATTCGATGACGCTTTCCCTAAATCACCCTATATTTCTTCAAATCCTCGGAAGCCTAATCGTGCGAGAACCTGTTATTTCCACCGCGCTGATAATTATTAAAAAAAAAAAAAAGGCTTATTGATAGAGCCTCTCACCGATGAGTCATGTGCTCGAGAGAGTGCTCGGTAAGTAAAAAAGGAAAAAAAAAATGGGGGGAACTCGATCGTATAAGTCTTGATTTTTTGTGTTACACCTAGATGCACTAGATCAATGTACCAGGGTGTCGCCTGTATCAGAAATAAGCGCCAGTAGCATAAATAATGGAAACGCGACTTTTCTCAAGCGGGAATTCAATTCCGCCATAAAATGTCCATAAACACGTATGAAGGTAGATCCGGTATTAATCGTAGGAATTCTTATACGTGCACCGTCACGATGGTGGACTCTGGCACGGCGCCGTCCTGTATCTTTTATCACTTATCATAATCGCAACGGCTTTATCAACGCTCTCTTTCTCGCGACGCGTTGCGTTGTTGGCAAATATCGCGGTAAGATAATGATCGCCAATTATCGGTATGTACTACGATAGATTTCATCTTCCAGTTCGCGTTTGCCAGCCTGTTCGGTGATCAGGGGTTGCTTCCTTTATTTTTTATATTTTATATTTTTTATATTTTATTAGTAAAGTCGTTACGAGAAATCATCAAGGACGTCTAAAACCGACTTTTCACCCATGAGTACACAGGGGCTAATTATTCACATTTTTACGCGTGGAATGGAAACGAGACCGCGATATTTGCATCTGTCTCCTCGATCTACTCGCACTTATCTCGCAACAGAATCCGGTCTGATAATAAATCATCTATCAACAGTATCACAAGATTTAGCGACAGTGCTCGAAGTACGCGCCAGGATAGGCCGGAGTATTCCTCCCTATTCGGTAAAAAATTCCCATAACGACCTCAAGGTAAAGTCGATGCGTTTTCCATCGACGCGCTAATTGTCTAAAGTGTCGGCAGTTAATCAGACCGGCCACTCGTTCGAGGAACGAGCGAGGTCAAGATCGCACAGACGTAATCCCTTTTTGCGCGATTAAAAAGATAGGGGATGACATACGTCGATCCCTGCCGCGGACTTTGCGATGTACTTGCGTACCGAGAGGCGCCAGTCGCGATAAAACATGAACATTCGGTAAACTAATATAATTAAGTAACAAAAGTCCATTCCAGCGAATCTAGCCCTTTCTGGATTTCGCGTGATAATTGAGAAAGAAGTAGATTCCGTAGGTAATTCCGCAGGTGGCCGAGATTCCCGGAGGAGAGGGCGTAATTTAAGAAGAGGGGGAAAAAAAGGGAGCGCCATCCCGAGATTTCCGGGAACTTGTAATCGCCTTTCGGAGTGACTCGGGGGAAGAAATTGGGTTCTCAGGGATCCTCCCCTTCGTTATCCGGCTGAGCCAGTCTCTCCTCCAGGAGCTCGTAAATCACCGAATCACGTTCTTCGTTAGATCAGGTAAAAGATACGGTCTCCTCGCTCGTCTTTGTGGCGCAGGAGGGCCAGTTAAAGGGCCGAGGAGGCTTCCCCGAGGGTGCGGACCGGGAATCTCCTACCTGCAGGACTAATCCTGCCGACCAGGACAGCCTGGAGGCAGAGGTCGTCAGCATGGCCGCTTTAAATCATCCTCTAAAAGACCAGCCTCTTCCGGCGAGTCCTGCTCTCGAGACCTTCCCTTTGTTTATTTACTCCCCGGCCAACCCCGGAGGACCTTGTCGTCGCCATCTACGGAGCATCTCTCCGGCATCTGCCCAGCATCCTCCTGCATCGTCACGGTGCACCGATCGGTCTCGGGTCCTCGTCCTTCACCGGGTCTTCCTGGAAGAGGGGACCGCATCCTCCGAAGAGGCCTCGATACCTGGACCAGGCCTTATTAGGATCTCTCCTCGGGACATCTCCGGATTTTCTGTTTTCTCTTCCGAGCGAAAATCACTCCTCCAGGGATCGGTGACTCACCGTCCTCGAGATTGCGCCGCTTCTTGGAAAAGATCTGCACGTTTCCGAAGATCGATATACCGGCTTCTGCGAAGGCAATATGTCATATTAGATTGTTTTATCGGTTATCGCGTCGAGCACGCGGTGCGCGATAACAGGTCAGGCAGATAAACCAATGTCGAAGTTGTCGAGTCAAAATGTCGCAGCGGAACACCCGTGGAAGCGCGGCTTTGATCAATGACGATGCAACCGGAAACGTATCTAATCGACATTCCTCCGAATACGGGGAACGTCGATAGGCTTCCCGATTTCCCTCCCGTTCTTGGGAGCTTTAAATGCCCGGACGACGTTAACCTTTCTTGACCACGTTGAGAGTACCTCCCAGGAAATCCCTACCTCCATACATAAGTCCGACCGAACTTCCACCGATGCAAAATTGCAGAAACGGCAAATCACGCGAGCCTTGAATAAATGCTAATGCGATCCCCGACGCGTCTAAATATACCAGGTAACGCCTGTGCTCACCTGGCGTGATTATACGTTCGCACCTGATATAGAAAAAAAAAAGAAAAGGTAGAAAATAATTCTAACGAACCTGCGCAGATAAATCACGTTAAGTGAAGGTGGAAATTTCGCACTCATTGCTCGGGTCAAAGAATGAATAGGCCGGTGAGTACGGCCGAGTGATAACGTTTAAGAAACGACCGCCGAGCGTTATGCTATCGTGTCGTCGTTGCATGTATTGGGGGGGCACACGTTAAAGAGTTATAAAATTCGATACAGGCCGCCCTTTACCCGCGGCCCGATGAATACAGCTCGCCGCGTGGAATGAAGAGAGAAACCCTGGAATAAGATAGGTTGGGTAGGGTACTACGTGGGCGTGTAAGCTATCTTGGTTTTACTGCATATTGAAGTCATAACCTGCGTTACGGACCCTTTTAGTGCAAGTTCGGTCGGGAAAGTAGCGGAGGTGCGATGAAATATTTCAACGTGGCCCGCAGTTTCTGCAGTTCTCTCTAGAATAGGACTCGGTTTAATTATCGGGGTAATAGCGACAATACCAAAGTTTATATTACCGCCCGTCGGCTCTACTCCAACGGCACGTGTATATACACCGACTTACACCCTCGAGTCCTGCAGGAAGGAGATGCCAGGGAAACAAGGGGAATCCTGTGGTCTAATGGTCAAAATTAAAGCAGCCCTCCTGTGATCGTCCTGGATCCTCCTATTTATTCCGATGCGGAGTTCCATTAGCGGTTGATTACAGTGGCGGAAAAATCGCTCGCCATTAAGTGACCTGAAATGCATGATAAACGAGTCACAATAAATACGTGAATTAAATCTAGTTCGATATATATATATATATATATATAAAAAAATGGATTCTGCTAATAAACTGGTGATAGATATATCAAGGTAATTAAAGCAATGTAACTTTGGTCGAATATTCGGGTGGAGTTAAAAGGGTTGAAAAGCTCGACTACTCTTCGAAAGATACACCGCGCGCTATCGCTCAGATATTTCTGAAAGCTTGCCCGGTGAGAATGCGGAATGAATGGTGATTAAAACGTATTTACCATCTCTCGGCAAGACATGAGATATGCCTTTATTATCTTGAATCGACGAAGAGGTTGAAATTTAATTTTAGTCCGCTCTAGCTAGTAATGGCTTCCGTCCACCGTTAGACCCTCTATAAGTAATGAATATTTCAAGGGACTCGTAAAATTCTGAACACTAAACACCTCTGCTCTCCCGGTATTTTAGAACGTACGCGTCCCCGTCGGTTTTTTTTTTCAAATAATTTAATAATTAGTCAAACAAGTAATTATGTACTCACGAATTGCCATTACGCGCCGATGTTACTAACCTGTGCCGCCACCCCACGAGCGGGCGCGCAGTTAACCTCATTTTACCATGTTTCGAACGTCGAACTTATTCAGGGAAACGATGTTACATTAAGGACGTTTGCTTTCGTTTTCTTTTTATTTATAGCGTAGACGTTTAATTAGGAAATTTACTTTGCAGCGATTTAACGTTTCAGTTTAATATTTCTGCAAGGAATACTTTTTACATTACTGTGGTGCTCGGCTCGGTAACGGCGCGATTTCAATATCGGTTAACTAAAGCATCGTAAGAGGTCGCACCACGATTTAGACAGTAGCGCGATTGGTTTTGTGTTGTCCTCGGTGGAGAATGCGGGTGGCTCGTGCACTTACCATCTGATACCCCCAACGGCAACCCGACTCATCTCTGACATGTTTTGCCCATGCCATGTGATAATTCAGTGAGATTCCAAAACATAAATAGCTTGTTACAACATTTAAGGTATTACTGAAAACTCAGTATTTTAGAGATTGAATGTGTAAAATACTTTACTCTGAATATTTGAATTTTAAACGAACTGTCACATCGATATTGGCAAGATGACAGTCATCGAATATGTACAAACTTTATCCGATAACCCTTACTTTGGAGCCGGCTTTGGATTATTTGGAGTAGGCGCAGCTGCAGCTTTATTGAGAAAGGGAACGCAAGTTGGGATGGTACTTTTTAGGTAACAATTATATATTTGCTGTCGATACAGTGTTCAAGCATAGGTTATTAGGTATTTTGGCAAGTTGAACGAATAATTAATTAAGTCTCTTTACAGACGTCACTATATGATTACACTGGAAGTTCCTTGCCGTGATAAAAGTTACCAGTGGCTTTTGCAGTGGATTACACGCATAGGTGCTCGAGAAACTCAGCACCTTTCTGTTGAAACTAGTTTCGAGCAAAAAGACACTGGTCATGTTAAAACTAAATATGATTTTATACCAAGCATTGGAACACATTTCTTTAGGCAAGACTTTTTTTTACCCGGTGGATATTCCAATCCCGTTTAATTCCAGAAGCGCTATTATATAATATCCATACGATTAATGCTTCATTTGTATTTTTATATTTTAAATAGATATAATGGCAATTGGATAAGAGTTGAACGGACGAGAGAACAGCAGACGCTTGATTTACATATGGGAGTCCCGTGGGAAACCGTCCAACTAACTGCTTTTGGGAGAAATAGGAACATATATTTCAATATTCTTGAGGAAGGTTCATATTTTTTCAAGGGCTTGCAACTTGTTAACTTTGTAGCTAGCACAATTGATATTAATACCGATTATTTGCAGCCAGGCAAATGGCTCTCAAGGAACACGAGGGAAAGACAATAATGTATACGGCACTTGGAAGCGAATGGAGGCAATTCGGACATCCTAGGAAGAGAAGACCTATAGATTCAGTAGTTTTGGATACTGGGATCGCCGAAAGAATTTTAAACGACTGCAAAGAATTTATAAATAACCCTGGATGGTATAGTGATAGAGGTTATTTCATAAGATAAATACCAAATCTTGTTAGAAATCAAATATTATACATGGTCGGATCAGTTTCGGTGTATGAAAAATTAAAATTATTTTTAATTTAGGTATTCCATACCGGCGAGGATATTTACTATATGGACCACCAGGCTGTGGCAAATCCTCGTTCATTACTGCACTAGCAGGTGAATTAGAACGAGGCATCTGTGTACTGAATCTTTCTGAACGTGGCTTAACCGATGACAGGTTAAATCACTTATTAGCAGTAGCACCGCAACAAACAATTATTCTCCTTGAAGATATCGATGCTGCATTTACTAGTAGAGAAGAAAGCAAAGAAGGTAAATATTCTTCAAATGCAAATAATTGTATAAAAATATTTACAGTATATTATTTTGACATTTTGAATTTCTTCATGAAGTTAGAGCAGCGTATGATGGATTAAACAGGGTTACATTTAGTGGATTACTGAACTGCCTGGATGGTGTAGCGTCTACCGAGGCGCGAATCTTGTTCATGACGACTAATTATTTGGACAGATTAGACCCTGCATTGATACGACCTGGAAGAGTGGATGTCAAAGAATACATAGGTAAATATAGCTTCGATGATATCGTGTACTTGGAATAATTGTTTAGTTCGAAATACACTTTTTTTTTGCACTATCTGCAGGTTGGTGTAGTGCAAGTCAAGTAGAACAAATGTTTCTGAGATTTTACAAAGGTCCCGTGGCAGTGGCTCGGGAACTTGCACAGCAATTTGCTGACAAAGTGATAATGCAAAAAAAGAACGTTAGTCCAGCACAGATCCAAGGATTTTTCATGTTTCACAAGAACAATCCCAATGCAGTAATAACTAACGTTTCACAAATATGGGAAATCACATGATAAATATGAATCCAGTGTGTAACATTAATATCATTGTCGAACGCATATGTACATTGTGCTCAATATTTTAGTTTCCTCTAGAGTAAGTATAGAATAAAAACGGAACGTAATTTATAAATTAAACAAGTGTTGATTCATTTATTGATTTTGGGTGTTATGCAATTCCAACAATCTTTTACCTGTACAGAAGCAAGAAATGATACCGCTCTACGTGAACCTATACAGTACATGTTTAATACTTCTCGACTCCTGCGAACTGACTGATAAGGGCATTATCCCCCATTATTGGACAATGTGGAAATGAGTGACTTATTGTTACACACTTACTAAGAAAATATAGTACTCTGGAAAATAATATCACATGTTTAGAACATGTACTACTTTCTTACTTAACTATTGCTCAGCATACGGAACTAAATTATGGATCACACAGTCCTTTGATTTTAAACGTAAATGCTTTATCCTCTATGCTAGTCACCAGTTACTTCTAACTTACAGAATGTTACACGACTAATGCATTATATGCGATAAAAAATGGTACAATAATATACTGAATTTGCCAATACATATACGCATCTAGTACTGTTAATTTTACTTCCTAAGGAAAACATTCATCCTTGTAAGAGAGATCATTGTCAGTGATATGCATAATATTTACACCTACTGTCATCCGCTAATACTTGATTTCATTGAAACGATTCATTTACCATAAATGCTATTAAGTTCACAATTCAAATGGTGGATTTGTATACAAAGTAATATTTGTATATTATTGATGGTGATACTCATGACGAGAAACTGAAAATGACTTTGCACAGTCGTGGTATTATTTTTTTTTTTACAGGTATGGTAGTTTCTTATATTAGTAAGTAGTCAAGCATGTATGTGCCAATTTGTACTCTATCTCTTAGGAGTAATCAATTCTTTGATAAAAATATTTTCCGTATCGTGGTTTAACCACGAAATTGTTCTGCAAAGAATTTTTCAGTTTAAAAATAGTTCTCTTAAAACGTAAATTTGTTAAATTACTAATAACCGATAGATAACATAAATGCATTTCTAAGAAGCAAATTCAAATTGATCATAATCACTTTCTGAAGTTGAAATATTGTTTCCAAATTGGCTGACCATAAAATACTTTTGTTTAACAAAATTCATGGATGGGACAGTATAAATTAAAATTAAATAACATTCAGAATTCTCAGTTCTCTCAGTAGAGATAATCAGCCTTCACGATACTCAACATTTTTTCTTTACGAATTCAATGTAATCGATAATTATTCCAGATTCTAACAACATGATATGAAAAAGAATTCACAAAAGTTATACCTACTATATCACTGTATATACACAATTCTTATTCTATACTTATAGCTTGTTAAAATTGCCTAGCTAAATTTATGCAAATATTACCGATGTAATTGATCAGATACTAATCCGTCAGTAAAAAATTCACTGGCAGTTAAAAACTGGGATTGATATATATATATGTATTTATATATAATAGTATAAAATTCCAGTTTGCACCATTCTAAAACGAAGGATGATCGTAAGCTTAAAAGGTTTGCATTTTGATTGCTTCTTGGCATTCTTACCGCAGCAGTAAAATTTCTCAAAGTTAAGAGGGAATTCTCGATTTGAATAATAGTTTTACCCAGAACATTTCACCCCTTTTTAGAAACTCCAGATGTATGGTTCATAATTCAGAGGATCCGTTTGTTCCATATGAGTGTTACTTCCAACCATACAGGATGCATACACTACGGCAGAATTCCCTTGAGTCGATGCAGATGGCACGATAGGAGGAGCTAATCTACAATCAGGTCGCTGCTGCATCATCGGTCCCATGGGTTGCATCGGAGGAGGTCCTGGTGGAACTTGAGGCTCCGGAGGTGGTGGTGGTTGAGCTTGGGCTATCGGTGGTGGAGGGCCAGGAATATTATGTACCGATTGCAACATATTTGGCCCTGGAACATAGTTTGCCACTTGGCACCGATAAAGAATATAATTAATACCTTCATTTTTCTTAACGGTGTACGTTCATTAAATTTATTTAGAAACTTACATGCAGTCGGATTATGAAACTGCATATTTGTTTGTTCAGGAATCATGTTGGCAGGAGGCGGGACCATTTTTAAAGGAGCAGGCGTCTCAATTTTCTTTTTCCTAGGAGCTCTTTTAGAACCATCGCTAGAAGATTGATCACGCTTTTTATTGCTACCAGATTTCTTTTTCTTTTCACCAGGTAGTTTTGGTTTGCTGGACCTATTGCCGCTAGGTTGCCAAAGATGAACTGTATGTACAGCATTCCCTTCACTAAAAAAAAACATGGATCTTTTGCTATTGCAGTTCTAAAGATTATGTAAACATTTTTTATTTTCATACCCTTGTTTCTTTCCGAGTTTCCAACTATGAATTCCAGCCTTGTGAAGTCTTTCTCTAATTGTATCTACGCTGCATGTTAATCCTAGAGCAGGAGCAACATATTTAGCTGCTGTTAATGGATGCTGCGTAGCCATCGCAATAATTGCTTCATCTTGCTCCTTTGTTGTTATTCGTCTGCGTCCTTTACGTTCCTTTGTCTGAACGTTGCCTTCCTTATGCCAACGTTCAAGCCATCTTTTAACTGTACGCTCCTAAGAGAAGAAAGCTTCTATCAAAGAAAGGTTCAAAATAATTATAAAGACGCGTTTTTCTTACCGATCTATTAATCGCCAGTGCAATAGATAAAGTGGACAACCCAGCTTCTGACATTCCAATCATTCGATTTCTAATTTCAACACTGGTCTCCAAAGTCCCTTTTGCTTTGCCACCCTTCTTTTTTCTTTTCTGTTTTTCTGCTTTCCGGTCACTTTCTTTAGACTTATCCTTTCCTGATTCGTTATCAGTTTCTAACGACTGACTATTGTCATTAGAATTACTGGAATTTGAACTATCGGAGTGCACAATTCTGTTCATTTCAGTTAGTAATGACTTAGTCGAGTCTAGCTGTTGATGCTGTTGGGGTTGCTGCTGATGTTGATGCGGATGCTGTTGGACGGGATGTTCTATTTGATGCTGTGTTTGTTGTTGATCAAGATTTTGATGGACAGGCTGAGTATTTTGTTGTTGTACTTGTTCATGCAGCTGCTGCTGAACTTGATGCTGTTCCTGTTGCACATGAAGTTCTTGAAGTTGTGGCTGCGAGGTGTGTTCATGAGGTATTTGATTCGGATGACCCTAATTATAAATAAATGAATAATGTACATGAACTCCCGATTTACACAGAAATGATAAGAATGTGAAGTAAATATAGCTTAACTAACCTGGGGATAATGGTGACTGCCTTGAACCAGATCTAAAGGCCAATTTTGAGTAACATTGAGTCCTGGGTGTTGATAAATAGGTTGAGGTTCCTGAACTAAACTTAAGGCGTTGCTGAATTGAGTCTGATTTGTAGGTAAAGGCTGAGGTGGTGGTTGCATTTCATTGGTATTTTGAGGCTGTTGCACGTTCTGTTGAGAAAAGACCATGTCTGGTTGTAGCTCAGGCTGTTTCAAAGATTCGGCAGGAGCACCGTCACCAACGAATACATCTCTTGTTCTAATCTTTCTGGATATGCCTCTTCTCTTATTATCAGAACCTGAGGTGGTACTACTTTTCTTTGCTTTACTACTTTCTTTAGTAGATTTCTTTTTTCCCAGCTGAGTACCGGTAGGTCTCCATACAGCTTGCTGAATCGAAGCTCCATCTGCGTCACTGCTGAAAAGATGCGATGCACCAAATAAAAGTATGTGTTATTTACGTTTTAAGATTAAAAATGGAGAGATAAGATGATAAATAATTTCAATGGCACACTAACCCCAAGGGAATCCTCTGCATACGCTTTCGCGATGGGCTCCAGTTATGAATTCCTGCTTTATGTAATCTCTCTCGAACTGTATCCACGGAACAAGTAAGTCCCAAAGCTGGAAGCACAGCTTTCGCAGCAGTTATCGGTGTTTGCGTAGCCAGCCGGATAATTGCTTCATCCTGTTCAACCGTTGTAGCTCTTTTTCGACCACATCTTTCTCGGGTTTCCACAGTGCCTTCTTTATCGAAGCGGTTCAGCCACCTCTTAACGGTACGTTGCTGAAATCATAAAAAAAATTATTGTAAATTTACAATTTTATTAAAATAACAGAAAATCATAGAATCATAATTTACGTACAGAGCAATTGACAGCTGCTGCAATTTCTCTTAAACCCAGGCCAGCCTCGTACATGCCAACCATCCGGTTCCTTAGTTCCGGTGTCGTTTCATGCACGCCTCTGGTCTTTCCCATTTTTCCTTCGCTTATACTTTGTACTTTACAAGACGGACACAGTCCATCAAAACTGGTGCAATCTTTTGAAACAAAGAGTGCTCTGTATTTAAATTTCACGGCGTGAGAACAAACAACGATACCACGTGATAAATGGCAGCAGTCCTAGAAGAATTTTTAAACGCTAATCTAGAGGTTAGCCGAAAGAGGTTCAAATGACTTCGCCCACTACGTACCAGTTGGTCGCAGAGTAATTATTGCATTTCAGGTCATCACGCTTCCAGGAGCAGATTCAAAGACACCGCGTTTCTTCCTTGACTTAGACATTGCTGTCTCGACTATCGACAGACAATTCCGGCGTTAAACGCTTAAATATACTCAAGCTACTTTGTCGTAACGAGTTCACGCTTGTCCTTTCACACACGAGTCCCATGTGCGGTGTTTTCGGTCCAAAGCCTTTCGTACCTTACAAAACAACTCTCAAAAGCTACAGCAGCGCATACAAACTCCAGCCGCACGTAGAAAACGCTCCAGTCAATACAACTCCGGCTGTACAGTCCGTTGAAGTAATTTTGACCGCCATTCCCGTGTAGAAGCTTTTGATTTTGGAGAATCAGCCTATGCACTCTCGCGGGCTGCCCCGATTGGCGGGGGTGATGCACTTTTTAAATTCTCCTCGTGACGGAATGCCAGACATCGTGTCAATTCTTGCTTGATGTTTCCCTCCTGTCAATTGGAATTCCGCGGATCGCTCGATCTCGACTAACCTATGAACCTCGTTTACTTTTCCGCGCACTAGTCCATCCGTGCACGAAATCGCGCGAACACGGGGAAGCTTATGGAAAGGGTTTGCGTACTTTCTCCCCTAATTCACTAAAACTGCATTAGTGCGCCTAAATGCAGCCATGGAGAGGACACCTCCTAGTCAATACAACTCCCGCTGTACAGTCCGTTGAGATTCTTTTGTCCGCCATTGCGGCACACGAATCTCTCTCGATTTTGGGAATCGACCAATCAGAGATACGCCCACTGCAACCGCGCGCGCTGATTGGTCGAGACGGTTTGCTTTTTAAATTCCCTCCCAACGGAGGAACTCGAGACCGTGCGTCGACTCTTGATTAACAATTAATTATGTGGATTATTGACTTCGCCGTAATTTCGGCTCTAGTATTTAGCATGCAAATACATGCGATGCACCTTTGAATTTTCTTAATCAATTCAGCTCGGGAGTTGCAGCTCGGAGAAAGTACTCTCGCTTTATTATGCATACTCTCGTTTACCTCTCCCAGCGGATTTTTTAATTTCAAGATGTACACGCCACTCGGTGAGTGTGCTAATTTGCAGATACTTTGCTCATTGGTGAAATACTTTTAGATTTTCTTCTAACATCGCCTGGTACAATTCCGCGGAGTGTACCGCTGCACCGGCTGTACAGTCCGTCAAAAATGTTTCCTCTACAATTCGTAAGTATATCGGTTGGATAAAATTTATCAAACGGTTTAAATCGTTGTGGAATTTACGTTTTTACGTTCCAAGGGTGTTTTTTTATTAATGCGGGACGCGATATTTTTTTTTTAGCACCGATGATTTTGGATTTGCGATGGACATACGTCATGCCGCGACCAGTAAACGTGACTTCGAGACTTTTGGAGAATCGGCATTAAATCACGGAGCTGACAATGGAGTCTGGAAAAAAGGGGGCCACGTCTTCGAGATGGAATTCAGAGTTTTAAGGAATCCCGAGCGAATACGCGTGCCATGACGGCTTCGATGGCGATCATGCGAAATTGCCTCCAAAGTTGCACAGCGAGGGCGACTGGATATAGTGGGATAGATTGGGTCGTGGATTAACTAGTACATCCGCCTATCAAATCTGTTTGTCTGCTTCTATCTATGCTCACAAAGTGTGAACGCCGTAGGTATCACGAGTCGAGGTGTTAATCAAGCTCGCTTTCTTACATACAATGTAACTTTATGATACTCCAATCTGTTTTCAGACCATCGAATTTCCCACCGGACTGGCTTAACATAAATGTACTCTGCAGAGACACTAAAGTAATCCTTGCCGATCTCAAAAGTGAAGTATCCACTATTCGATGAAATTGCATTAATCGTTTCTTTCATAGCCAACTGTAGCTGCTAGCTAAGAAAGGAAATGTGGAAAATCTATGATTATTTTTTGTATTTGCAGAGAGCGGTAAGATGCAATGTAAGATACGGAGATGCGGCAAGAACTTGACTCTCAAGATCTTTGAGCAACATTGCCGACACGTCGGTCGCCTCTTGAGCTCCGGCGAAGATTCATGACGAGAATTCACGAATCAGACCGTGGTATAAATGACTCTGTTCTATGTCAATTCGCAATAATCTGATCTCATTGCATGCAACGAGCCTCCCTCGAGTGTGGCCATCCATCATCAGATCAGTCGCACCCTCCGTGGCCGCGAACACGGCCGGACCAGCTCGGACTGCAAAAATAGGCCACTTTTTAAACAACCATAACATTTTTCCAAAACTCTAGTGACCGTAGATCGCGAGTGGCAACATGAGAAACTACCTCGTGGTAATTTGTCTTCTTCAAGCGTCTTTGGTCAATTGTGGGGTACGTCGAATGATTGAATGGTATCCCTAAGTGATTCTCAATTTACTCAGATAACTATCTTTCAACGGGTACTCCGGGTAACCGAAGAGTTCATTGGCTAGGATTAACCGTGGAATACAAAAAGATTTCTGTTTTAGGTGCGGCCGAGCTTTGTATCCGACGAAATGATCGCGATTGCCTCTAGCGTGGTGAATGCCTGCCAAGTCCAGACAGGGGTGTCCACGGGTACATAGATATTGAGAGAAAAAGTTACAATTGCAATAACCGAACGGTCACTCGGTTGACTCCCCGTCATTAAAACGTCGTTTCCTATTTTAGCCGACATCGAGGCGGTAAGGAACGGCCACTGGCCCGAAACGCGGTCGCTGAAGGTAAGGGCTCGATGAGAAAAAAGATTATTTAGAACGGATCTGAGCGTTAATGTACAGTAATTATAATTTTTGCACAGTGTTACATGTACTGCCTGTGGGAAAACTTCGGTCTGGTGGACCACAAAAAGGAACTCAGCCTTAACGGCATGCTCACGTTTTTCCAAAGAATACCGGCCTACAGAGCCGAGGTTCAAAAAGCAATTAACGAATGCAAATGGCTCAGTAAATACATGGGTAAGAGCTTCGCGTTGCCTGTATTGGCAAGCAATTATTAATCGAATATTTAAACGTCTTCGGTATAAATAACAGTTGAAGAAATGAGTCATTGGCAATGACGATATTCCTGATTACAGGTAATGGCGACAGCTGCCATTACGCGTACATGTTCAATAAGTGTTATGCGGGATTATCCCCAAAGGTGAGTTAATTATCAGCCGAATCGAGGATGTTCTCCACCGGCTTTACATAACAAGTTTTAGAATAATTATCTCAGTTGACAAATGCTATGCCATTTTCAGACTTATTACCTGTTTTAAGTAAACGCTCGCACATCCGCACACGGAAGAGGAAAATACCGAGTAGTGAGGGTTCGCGGATTTGGAAATCATCGCAGCAGCTACTCTTTATGCAATGAAAATTACGACGCCTCTTAAGATAATTATGTATCGTTGTGTTCCGAATAAAGGTATAAATAATAGAATTGGTAAGGCACACATGACACATTTATGAACGTGACATCGTGAGAAATAAACTTGTATAGCTTTTTGTCCGGTACAATCAGTGCGACGTTTATGATTGTCAACATGAGGCATTAAAAAAAAAAATGATTACACCTGATTTATATCTCAATCACAGGCATGACGGTAATACGCGCGTTAATGATTTGCGGAAAATCAAAATGTGCGGCTTCGGCATGGAACGTGCAAGTTGTAAATTATAAGGAAAAAATCGCGCAAGCCGATTATTAAAAAAATTTACAACACGTCATGAGGTGAAGGTTCACGCCTTTGGCGTGATCGCACCGAGGGGTACAACTCAAGATCAAAGATCTTGAATTAACACCTGACGACATAATAGCAATCTCTCGGAGAGGATATAAGGCGAAATTTTTCTCACGTATGAACAGTTCGTGCTTGGCGACCAAAGTTTACGGAACGTAAGAGATTCTTAAAATCTTTTCGCAATGAGTGCCTTCAAACGTTTTTCAGTCGCCGTAGCAGTTACAGCTCTCATTATTTCTGTCGTTCAAAGCGGAGTAAGTACACATTTTTTTTCTGTAAATTTCATGGATATTTGATAACACGCTTTTCTATATATTTCATAGGAAATTCCGGAGGAGCTGAAAGAAGCTGGTAAACAAGCACATGATATATGTGTTAAAAAAACCGGAGCACAAGAAGGTGAGTTTTAAGTTAAATTTGGATCGTACATTGCATGCATCACATTTCCGTACAAATACCCCTGAAAGTTCCATTTACAAAATCAATTTTTCATTACAGAACATATTGCAAATGCGATGAAAGGTGAATTTGCGGAAGACGAGAAATTTAAATGCTATCTGAACTGTATACTGGAACAATTTAATTTGGTAATCCTTTCTCCAATTTAATATTGCTTACAGCTGCTCATTTTATTATAATCAATAATTACTGTCTTTGTAATCAAAACTAGTTGAAAGAAGACGACACTATTAATTATGAAGTGATGGAACAACTAGCACCAGAATCCATGAAATCAAATTTGGAACAAATGAAGAAGGAATGTGGGCAGAGCGGTAAGTGTAATTACTAAAATAACCAAATTGTTATTATTGTATCGAAGCACCATTTACCCTTAATATTAATTTCCAAAGCTGGAGCTAATAAGTGTGAGAAGGCCTTCAACCTGAACAAATGCGCTTACAAAGTTAACCCAAATGTAAGTATTATTTTTGTGAATAGTAAATGTCGAAAAAAAAGTCAATTTAACGACGCAGCTGCCTATTATTTATAGATGCGCAAAAAAGTGTGTATTTTTACTTACTCTTATTTTTCAGACATACTTTTCGCTTTAAGCTACAAGAAGACAGATTATTGATACCAGTGCAACATTTTTGTTTGTATCGTGGACAATGAATGGCATGTAATTATGTTTAAAAGTAGAATAAAGGAGTAAAATATACTTAAAAATCTAAATCTTTAATAACAGCCAGGTATAAATTACTCGGTATCAGCAGTTTACACCTTTACGTTACGTAACACCGATACGCACATACTTATATCATTTACATGATTATTTAATGCATAAATATTGCTTTTAATTTCTAGGAAATGTTTCCTTACACTATAGTAGTACCTGTGATTTTCTGCATACCTCATAAACTTAGTTTCAATTCATTTTGTTTATAGTCTAATCAAAGATCGATTAACTATTGGATATAGATAATATATACGTAATACTACATCTTCTTAGAAATGCCTTTTTACAAAAGACCTACATATTTGTTTGCTTTAACTGAATTCATAAATTCACAGTATTGGCAGTTCCATTTTATCACTATATCTATTCACCAAATAAAGATGCGAAACCATTCGTGCATTGTTCGATTGACACTAAATGTCTCTTCCTGGAATCTTAAGATACAATCATTGGTCCTCACATTCACTTAATTTCTCACACATAACCCAACTTGAAAAATACAGACTCCTCCGATCTTCGCAATACGTAAATACATTTATTAAAAAGATGAGCAATTACCTTTCTTGAACCTGTCACTGCGATGTCCAATTAATTTACGAAATAGTACCGAAGGACATGACCACACATTTTATTGCGATTAAATTTACGCTTTTCGAGGCTTTACTTTCCTCTTGTTAATGTTCATGATCTGTTCTACAATGATATCATCAGCCTTAGGATCAATCGGAACAGCCTGAACCGGTGCCCTAGAAATTGGTGCAGGCTTCGACCATTTCTCCACCGAAGCATTTAACCAATACCATACTTTGTCACGGTTCAAGAAAGCAAATGCAACGAGTATTATGAAAGGCAAAGCTATTACCGAGGTTTGGTTCATGTCGCTTTGGTCCATTTTCCTTTCGGCGTTGAATGTCAACTTTACGTATTTGAATGACGTATTCGTTTCAAAATATATCGGCGTGGTTCGATATTTATGCAGTGCAGGAGACAAGGAAGACTCTAACTGCACGAAATATTTTTTACCATCAGCTTGCAAGGGTGGAAAGTGTACCAAGAATCCTGCGTTGTACGAAGCCCCAACTTTGGCAGTCTGCGGGCCATCCAGCTTTGAGATATGAATCGGAGTGTCTGGCATATCTTCTCTGCAAAGTTTCACTTTCAGGGTACGATAATGTTCTGGTTGAGGTGAAACGACGTGTACCGAAAAGTCTGTACGCGATATTGGGTGGAAAACGACCAGGCGGAGCCCTTGGATATCTTCTTTAGTCTGCACAGCGATGGAACTAGGTGTTGCCCTTTGGATGAGGGCATTTGCTTCTACATTGGGCTTTAAACGTATAGCATAAATGCACTGCAACATCAATAGAGAATTCGTTAAACAATGGTGATAATTAATTAATCCGTTAAATATGAATTCATTGAAAGAACCGAAGGATGCTGAGAAATAGGGATCGTCTACCGATGGTTGAAGTCCTCTGATCCTGAAGTTGCCATTCTGTTCCGTCGTTGCCTCTTCCTGAAGTGAAGAGCAGTTTGTCTGGCCTTGAGCTTCAACCAACACCCCGGGCTCAGGTTCACCGTTCAGTGACGTCACGGACCCATAAGCACTGAACGCGACTCTGTTACCAGCTAATCTCACTTTAATAGTGGCACCTTCGGCAACATTGATCATTTTTGAAGGTGGATCGAATCGGTACTCCTTCATCATCGGGCGAAGGTAATATTCCCCAGGAGATAACGAGTTAAATGTTAACTGCCCTCCTTCGTTCGTGACACTATTCTTGCGATAACTTGTGCCTCCCGAAAGGGAAAGAAGTACCCCCTGTTTGACAATGTATACATAAAGTGCTTTGAAAATTATTTTGACAGGCATATAATCTGCTGCGTAATACCTGAAGCGGAAGCTCATCTGTACTATCAGAAACGTCAACGATAATTTCAGCCAACTTGTGTGCTGAAAATATTCCCTTGTCATCTGGACCAGCAATAACGTATCCGTCTTTCTCTGCAGTTACGCTGAGAATTTATTGTATCGATCAATTTAGTACTAAACATAATAAAGCAGTCTTATTCCTGCTTACCTGTAATCTACTTTTCCATCGAGGGGGCCTACTTTATACACGCCGTCTTTTTGAGTAACCAGAGTTTGTACAGGAACTTCTTTGTCCTTTCCAAATATCCGAAGCGTAACACCTTCTAATGGTGGCGAAATATTTCCTTGAACAATCTGCAATATTTGTCAATGCAGGAATTTTCATAAGTAAATGTCAAGACTTTAGGGTTTCACTTACTTTTCCCAAATCACCGGTGAATGTAGCGATGTTATTGTGGCAGTCATTTGTTCCGATTACTTTCAATGACGGTGGGTTGAATAGTAACGTTTCGGATAAAGGTGTTATAATATACTCGGTATCAGTACTTGCGATAAATTCAAACTCATACTTAAAATTATCTCCATCTTTTACGTATTTCAAAGGACCTAGTCTGTAACAAGTAGGAAAAACCGATAATGATGAAGTAAATACCGTACCTCAATAATTAATATAGTTATTTAACTTACATGGGTGTTTCACTCGTTGCATCAATTTTAATTTTTATATCATTTACTGCAGCATTGCTAATGATATTTCCTCTGTGGCTATGTTTCGTTGATGACAAAAGAATAGGAGAAAGACTACTTGTATCCCAACTGTATACTGATTGTTGATAAATATGGCAGCTTTTTGGCACAAACTTGTATTCACCAGCTTTTGATACACAGTGCCTAGTACTACCCTTTGACAGATGCAGAACCATTTTTTTCGATTCATTGGGTTCAGAGAATTCAACAGATGTCTCATGCGAAGATATAAAAGTAACAGAAAACCCAGTTTGTTTGAAAGGCAGTACTTCGGCACGCTCCGACGTAATTGAAACGCGATAACTTGGATGTTCCCAACAAAACACATCGGTATCTATCAAAACCTCGTAGTGTCCAGGTAGCACCTCAGTGAATTGATATTCTCCACCTGCATCAACAGAAACCACTAGACAAACACAGACAGTAGTACCATTACAGAAAAATAATTATAAATGATAACAAATTTTGCAATATTTCAGTACCATTTTAAAAACCATGGACAATACAAAATTTATTATCAATGAGAAAGAACACATAATGGGAAGAAAAATCATTAAATTTAATAAAGAACGACCAACCTTTTGTCTGAACTGTTTTTATTGTAATTCCGTCAAGGATTTTTAGAGTAACTGATGCATGGCTGCAGTCAGAGTTTTTCAAACATTGAATCGTTCCTTTCAATGTTGCTTTTAATTGTAGGAAATTAACATCATTGATTGGTTTGGCTGAAACGTCAATTGTCTGTTGCAACGGGAAGAACCTGTAACAAAATGCTTTTATAGATCCTTGAAAATATGATGATTTTATGAAGACCCTGATACATACTGAAGACCCTTAGCTTTTTCTTCCGCAGTAACTATAATGCTCAATTGGTATTTGCCAGATGGGAGGTATAAACAAAATTTCCCAGTTGATGGGTCTGTGTCTACTTCTGTTTGAAATGTGGATAATGTGTTTTGTATGGACACTTTGCGGTGGTGCAGAGTTCCCTTTGTTGAAAGTGTTACTGTTCCACATACTTTGTATGCAGATGGTACCAACGGTGGTAATTCCGGGGAACTAGGAGATACCTTTACTACTTTTTCGTCAAACTGCATGTCATCTGGAAGAATAAAAATAAATTAGATAAAATTTTTATTTTGTAACTGTATAAATTGTTACGTACCAGCATCAGCACGCAAGGAATATTGGCTAGCCTTGGTATTGTCCAACGTGTAACGACCTTCACTATTGGTTACAGCTATCTGTTTGCCAGATAAGTATACTTTGGCTCCTGGTAGCGGCTTTCCACCAGCCATAGAATAGACAGTACCACTAACCGTGAAACCAGTCACTTTAAAATCTTGTGGTAAAATTAAACTATCATGTTCAATTTTAAATGTCGCTTCAGTAGGCTGAACAACGAATTTTGTTTGCGAACCCATGTAATAAGGGACAATCTTGTATTCACCGACTGATAAAGACGGAAATATAAATCTGCCATTTTTGTCGGAAACAGCATGACAGAGAGGCTTCTTATCTTCGAAACCTTTGATTGGATGTGTTGCACAGTTCTTAGCTTTGCCATTCTATCAAATCAACGATACACATATTTAATATCTATTTCTTACTTTAAGGGTATATATAAGTCTATGCAAAATTATTTTATTATTTTAACTTACTCCAAAGAGAATAAATGAAACACCACTTATGGGTTCACTTTCGCTAGTAACTTTCCCACTGACATCGTAGCCAGAAATTACTAAACTCCTTTCGGGAAGTTCTGTATTGCCCTCCTTTACAGTAACCTCGACTTTATTTTTTTCAATCACCCATCTTCAAAAAAAAAAATAAAAGTACATGAAAATTCATTAGATTCTCAACTGAGTAGTAAAATCTAAATAGTGATTATACATACACTGGATGCGTTGCAATTAGAGTATACTTTCCAGGTTGAATTGGTGTAAAGTAAAATGTCCCTCCTGGTGCAGTGATCGTAGTTCCAACAGGTGTTTGCTTATTATTTTCATTGTATAAAGAAATGGTAACGCCTTGGGGTCCAGAATTAGAACCATCACTGATTACCTTTTTGTTGTAATTGTAACACGTTATATGAGAATGGAAAACCAATCAGTTTAACTGACTAAAATACTACTTACCCATCCTGTTATTCCAAAACCTTTAAAAGTAAAATTTATGTCCACTCCTTGACTGCACAAGTCAGACGACCCGTCGACGTTTAATAAAACCTCGGTTGGTTCGAAACTCCATCCCCTGGGAGGATCAACCTAATCCCAAAAATATTAAACTCATAATAAATTTCAATACCCTGTTAATTAAGCAGAGTAAATTACAAAGAAAATATAATATCCAAACAAAAATCAAAATGAACAGCAACACAACCCATCGTACCTTCAGAACATATTCTCCTTTATCATACAATGGCAAAAAGTAATATCCATTGATCGGAGCACACTCAGTTTGGTCTTTTAAGCTTCCAGACTTCGTATACCTAAATCGTATTCAAGTTTAATTCATCGCCGACTATAATTATATTAAATGTAAATGTGCTAAATCATAACCTCATTTCGTCGTCACACTTACAGTTTCACGTGAACTTTCGAGAAATCAATATCAGTGTGGCTTTTTACGAAACCCCCACATCCAAGAATGTCTTCGGCAATGGAAATTTTTAATAAAGTAATTACATTAATAAACAGAATAGCTGCAAATCCTCGTTTCAGGAACATTTTCGTCGTCTGCTGTTAGCCATTGGGCACTAATTATAAACCAATGAATGTGGATATTCTCAGAGATAAAGATGAGTAGAGAGATTACTCACGGGCAGGGTCGCGCGATCGCGTCCTGTGCTGCCACCCGGAGGATGTGGACGGTTAACGCATTTATGGACGTCACTAGGTGGTGCGACTTACTGCTCGTGCAATGCCGAGCTTCAACGGTCGCCTTTCTAGGTTATGAGGCCGAGGCGTGATCCGTGGGTGCTGCACAGCCAGTGCAGCTCCGAGCAGCTCCGAGTAGCTTCGAGATATACGCAGAAGGATGGATCGCGGCGTGAGAAACGTGGATGTGACAGCGACGGGCGTCTACCGGGGGTGAGGAGAGATGAGAAATTAGGGCGATCGGCGCTTCCCGAGGTCGGTGCAGCATCCTCGAGAGTCCGTTACGGACGAAGATGAATCTCTTGCCGCTCGGCGAGTTAGCGAGTGTACTCGAGAGGCCGCTCGGCGTTCCGAGATATTATCCCCAGCCGAGCGCTGCGTCTACTCGCGACAAGTCAGAACACGAATGATGAGAATTAACTCGACTAAGATGACCACTCCGATCGAGGAGAAGATCGACCAGAAGCTGAAGGTACCTCCCGGCGGCCCTCGCGGCTTGTCTTTATCAGTGAATTCCGCGATTTTCGAAATCAATAACTCGAGGGCGCACTGGACTCGCAAACCTGCCGCGAGCAGCGGCTGCATTTTCACGCGCGGACTTAATGCAAATTTCACGCACTAATCAATCCGTCCCTCGAATCGCCTGGCGCTTTTAAATCTCAATGGCACAAAGGAATGCAGAACGGCCCCCTTCTTGGATCGGCGCTTCTTTGGGTGGATGAATGAATAGCCCCTCGCCTTTGTGTCTCCTTTAAAATCGGATATTTATCTATTGGGACTTCAACATATTTCATATTTTTAAGGGACATTCGAGGCTTGTCAAGAATGGGTCTGAATTTAATTAATCGAGTTGAATTTTATGTTGAGGTGAAATAGACTTTGCGATTCAATTATTTTATCAGTTCTTTCATGAATGCGTATCTCTGTAAAGGTCCGGACTGGTATGGTCACGGTCAGCGATGGCAAGATCAAACCGATCCCAATGCGTTTGCATCTGTCTATGGAAGTTTTGAAACTTCAGAGAGAAGACTTAGAGGTAATATACTTTTTTTACTACTTGTGGACTTCTTTATTTCATTTTGGGCTTTTATGTGGAAATAAATTGAGATTATCGAGAGGTTAAGTCAAACGAGATAATGATTTAAATAGGCTGCGAATCATAATAAACCACCTTTGGATGCGAAAGAAAGAATGGTCCAAATTACGCGGCAGAAAGTAGGTGGTTTGGGGTTGAGCATAAAGGGAGGAGCCGAACATAAGCTTCCGGTGCTGATATCAAGAATATATAAAGGCCAGGCTGCTGATCAATGCGGTCAACTTTTTGTCGGGGATGCAATAATTAAAGGTAAATTATTTAAATACGGTATATGCGAACGAGACATGTATTTTAAATTATATGGAGTTCTTTTATTTTTTATGTCTGTTTGTTTTACATAGTCAATGGAGAGTACATTACTGCGTGCAATCATGATGATGCTGTTAACATTCTGAGAAATGCTGGAGATTTGGTAGTTTTGACCGTGAAGCACTATCGAGCGGCGAAACCATTTTTACAAAAAAGTGGTAGGTTGTAAATGCAGTGATTTTAAGAATAATACGTTATTTTCTTGTACACTTTTGTTTTCTGTTTTATAGAAAAGGAAGAAAAATTAGACAATGTTGCTAATGGTGGGGAAACAGATGATGGATGGATTTCGCCGAGCAGACAACCTGGCAGTCCTAAATGCAGTCATAGCAGACAAAATTCTAATGCATCGTCGAGCTCTGCACAGTTTAAGAAATGGATCGATGTTGTCACAGGTAACGTAACGTTTAACATTCAATATTTTATCCTTGTTCTGAAAATTCAAATTACGCGTTATTTTTGTAGTGCCCTTGATGATGGCTTACGTAACAAGGTACATATTTGGGACGGATAAGCTTCGTCGAAATGCCTTCGAAGTTAGAGGATTGAACGGGGCACGAACTGGGGTGATTCACTGCGACGATAGTGCTATTCTCAGTCAATGGTTGAAATATATCACGGATAATATCACAGGCTTAACTCATTTACAGGTAGATGTATGATAGAAATTCAACTATTTTTGAAGTGCTCTCTAGTCATTCCTGGGCTTTAATTTAAATTTTGTGAGCTAGATGAAGCTATATAACCGGAATTTTGGAGTGGGAGAACGCATCGAGTACATGGGATGGGTGAACGAGGCTGTCAGTAACAGTAATCAACCATGGCAGAGCTACAGACCTCGGTTTCTGGCACTTAAAGGTCCTGACTTGTTGCTGTTCGAAACCCCACCAGTGAGTATTTATAATTTCATATTTCCTGTTTGACTCCGCCTTATTTTAACATGAAATTTTAATCATTCACTGCTGTTCTTTCCAGTGCAATATCGGTGACTGGTCACGATGCGCACTGACGTTTAAGGTTTATCAGACGATGTTTCGCGTGATGCGGGAATCCGAGAACGTAGATGAAAGGCAGCATTGTTTCCTGGCACAGAGTCCAGGTAAACCGCCACGCTATTTAAGCGTTGAAACACGGCAAGAACTTTTAAGAGTCGAGGCCGCATGGCATACCGCAGTTTGTTCCGCTGTCACTCACCTGAAGGTTTGTACATGGAGTGTTATTAATACAAGTCATCGCATATTAATTCATAATTATTTACGACTTCGTTCCTCATGCAGAGTAAAACCTTCCCCGTCACCTTTAACGGCAGAGCCGCAGGCTTGACCCTAGAATGGACGCAAGGTTTTACCCTCTCTTATGAGAATGCTGGAGATACTATCTGGCGATACAAGTTTTCTCAACTCCGTGGCTCCAGCGACGACGGGAAGAGCAGACTCAAGCTGCATTTTCAAGAGCCAGACAGTATTGCCATCGAAACTAAGGTAACTGATAGCGATCGCAATTGAATTCGATCTACCTTTCGTAAATACAAAATTGTTTAATACAATTTTCTCAGGAATTGGAATGCTCCCAGCTGCAGAACCTACTGTTCTGTATGCACGCCTTTTTGACCGCAAAAGTTGCCGCGGTTGATCCAACGTTCTTGACATCAACGACACCGTAAGAACTGCGTCGCTGGGAGTACACCTGTAGGTACCGTGCAATTTCTTTTTTAATCGCGTAGAGTTCGAGTGACTCTTGATGCTGTTGGAACATTAAATTATCAGGGAACGTCGTATAGTTCTCCGCAAAGATATCAGCCTGATGACGTCGACGAATTCAGACGTACCACAGACCTCCGGTCCACTGCGAAAGACAGATGTCACGGAAACAATTAATCCCGGGTGACTTCTCTGTTAGGGAGGGACATTACCCGGTCAGTGAACGAAATTTACGCTTTTCTACAAATTGGACTATCGACAATCACTGAGTTTGCCATTAGTGTACGATCATTTCTGTCCAAATGGAGTTCCAGGGTACGTCTGAATTCGGCGCTTCGACAAACTCAAATTATTAGGAATGGAACATTGTCTAGGTGCGATCGTGGTTCCGTTTACGTTGGGAATCTCAATCCGCACGGAAAGGTGGCGTCGAAATCGCGAAAACGATTTTGAGGGCGGTTACTCACTTTACGAGCCGAAGGAAGAAATTGAACCGTGCGCCGCGTTAAACTCGAGAAACAAGAGACAACTAGTCAGTTTTCCAAAAATGGTTTGGACACTTTTATAGAAAAGTAGATTATAACGAAATGCGTAATCCTTCCAGCTCAATTGCAGCGATGAACGTCGCGTTTACGGAGAAGCATATCGATCCAGGATCGGAATTAGAGCCCGGACCTCTCCGTCGTAGGACATTTATTATCTGGAAATGGGAATAATAAGGCAATAGCGTTAACGTTTGTACGCGATATTTTTTCAGTGAATAACCATGACGACTTCTGGCTTGTAAATTAGTATCGGGGGGAACAGAGGGGCGACATCGGACGCCCTCGTTTCTTTGAAAACGTTCGATGGCTTCGGCTTTTACTCGTATATCGTTCTTTGAGCTTGGAAGGATTAATCGCATCGAAAGCTTACGGCCGTACCGTAGTAAGCTGGGAATTGCATAATGTTTTGGCAAATCGAGTACAGGGACTTCGTCACCTACATCAGAAGTCGATAATGCCTTTAGATGGATTCTTTCGACGCAACGTTTGTGTTCATTTCGGTTCTGCCTAACGTCAACGAGTTAATTGTAAATCATGTCTGTGCCTCAGTCGGTTTTAAGGTATTTCCGTTTCCGTTTAATGGAACGATTCCGAATCTCCTGTTTCTCTTTCGACGGTGGTCGGTGCGCTCGCCTTTCCTTTCCGCATGGTCTTCGAATCTCGTATGCGAATCGCGTTATCTTTTGAGCATTGAATTTCGTACCGTAGACATATATCCGGTGCCTTGTCGGAGAATCAGTCGATCAGTATACAGAAGAAGTGTCCACGTTTAGCAGCGACTGCTTAAGCTTTGACGAAAGTGCTCAATCGAACGAATATGGAATTTTTATCGCGAGCGCACACCTCTTCCTTTTCCTCAATCCAGCGAAATTTTCAGCAACAAGCTACTTTATTAAAGCCAGTATTAACCTGTCAATAAGAAATCACGTCGCAGCTATAGTCAGAGCAATAAACACTGTTGTATAGTCCGACCATGGTGGCTACCTGGTTAATTATCTAATTAGTATTCGAGGTACTTTGCGATGGGGGACTCTAGTTAGCGTGAAACGACAAATGTTACCACTAAGTATATGTTATATCCTACCTTTAAGTGACACCGCGCAATTGGTTCTCCTTCTTGCTTTACTATACATGTATATATACATATACAAGAACGGAGTAAACGACAAGGAAGGAACGAGAGAGATTGAAATTGACTTGTTTAGCTTAATGCTTACGTTTCTAATGAAGATTATCCATAAGATATGAAATGTGGATTTATGTCGTCGAATTTCTCGCGGGGGGTCGCAATTTACTCGTTGCGAGTATTTGTTTGGACTTTATGTTAAGCAGGGGGCAAGAGGGGGGTATACAAGGTACGGGAATTGTATGGCCGGTTATCATGTCGCTAAGCTATTCCTAGTTTTGTCAGAATTTACGCTTCTACTTGTTTCCTCTTCATCTTCGACTCTCTTCTTCTCTCTGTACTTTGAAGATCCTTCGACTACTCGTAGAAAGTGCCTATACCGTATCGTAGATGACAAGGAATCCGCTTTATTTTAGCTCATGGCTATTACGGACGATGTACGTACTACTTTTTCTAGTCCAACCTCTTCAGGAAGTTGCCATGGTCACTGTGTAATGAGTAGAGTACTCTTGGATCGGTGCGGAAGCTCATCGTTGTACGCACGAGAGCCGGTCTCGACCCTCCTAAGTTTTGCTCTTCTTCCAGTTATGTCTCGAGTAAAAAGCTCCGGGTAATAAAGGTGAGCTTTCGCACACCTTGGAATAATTATCCAACCGGGATTCAACGAGATAGAGATCCGTAAGAATGCGTGCGTGCGTGGATGCGTTACCGAGTGATAGCGCTATAGGAAATTAAGAGACACTCGCGACCGGATGTAATTGCAGAAATTCCGAGATATCGATATCCACCTGCAATTTTATCCGCACCTTAAACTCACCGCTACCGCTTTTTCTGGGATTACACCCGGTTCGGTTATCAAGGACTGCACAATTATATTGTATACATATGTTGTAGCTATATACATATATATATATATATATATATATTTACGGAATGAAGCTGGGATAATTAATTTTAACGAGGATTATGCTTCGGGCCATTACCAGGAACCAAAATATTCAGTGTTGAGCTATTAAGTTAAGTTTAAGGTAACGATGGCGAGAGGTCTAAGGAGACGTGGTTGGGAAAAGGCTTGTTTCGCGCAAATTCATCGGTTTATCGACGACCAACCCGTCGTTGCAGTCTTTCCTCCTCTTTTAGCTCGTTCCGTCTCCTAGGTAGACACGTAGGATATAGTTGTACATAATTCAAACTTGCCGATAACTCCACGAAGCTTTCTCGAGTCCGATGTCCCCGAGCGTGATCGACTAAAAAAAAAAGTGTCACTCGCTGCCGTGGAATTATTAAAAAGTAAAAGATAAAGAAATGGCATAACAAGGAATGGAAACCCTGAAAAACGCTTCGTCTCGTCGGGGTCGTCGAGCTTCCGGCTTGAAAAGCTGGAACCGATATATATATATATATCATCGAGGTCTTACATTTCGAAATATAGTTTATCTGTTATAATGTCTATTCCCCCCATTGACAATATGTTTCAAAATATATCATTGTTAGCAGTTACAAATTCGTTGCCTGTTATTCTGTAAGCCTTCGGGGTCTCGGCCTCCGTTCGGAATAATCAGAGGGGATCCGGAAAGCTGCGGAGTGCTTTTAGACGAGATAAGCCTAAGGAGAGACGAACGGAAGAGAATGAAAAAGGAGCAATAAAGGGCCAATGTAGAGAGAACTTGCGATGGGTTCCTTTTTCTTTTTTTCTTCTTTTCTGTTCATTCACCATTTATTTCATAGACCGATGAGCGATCATTCGTGCGATTGTTGAGAGTCCCGACGACCGAGTTTCCTCCTAGAAATTTTCCTCCCGACGTTTTCCCAAGGAAGACGTCTCATTAGCCGGTATTTCCGTCCCTTCGGGAAATGGAGACCGCTGATTGGTTCTCTCGTTTCAACGGGCCAATTACATCGGCTCTCCACCCTGGTGACGGTAATAACGCGTCAAAATGAAAATTATCACCGATAAATCTGAGGGGAGAGGCGCTTTCTACGGTGGCGGGACTTAATCGATTCCCGCGAGAAAAAGGAGAGACGCGAGGAGACAGAGGACACGGTGGACTGGAGATCTTGCGGATCTTCCTGTTGCGAGTTATAGAAATTTTTCATGTAACAATTGCCAGGGTAATTATTAGCCTGGTCTTTGGTCTGGGTTAGTGGAATTAATGTCCTAGGGTTCGTCTTATTCCTCGACGTGTTTGCTCGCTGCTCCGTCACCGATGTCACGCGGATGCTCCCGATATCGACGGGAATGTCAATAGTTATCTGGGCTACCGGAGAGTCCGGGCGCGAAATGCATTAGTTTGGGTTTTTGCCCATGATTTAAGACCCCGGACCCCTCCTCGGGCTTTACGAACTAATCGGCCGTGATTTATTTATTTGTTTTCTATCCGGCCGTTCTGCCGATTTCGCGCGGCAGGAAATGGAACGTCGTCCGTCACGCGGAGACCCGACATCGTCAGGGTGTCCACCCCTCTGGTTGACTTTTCCTAGCTTTTCTTTTCTTCTCTTTTACCTTAACCGGGTTCAGATACGTTTAGCTATTTTTCTTCTTATTCTTAAACATGAAGAAACTCCTGGGTGGAGGTCCGCCGAAATGTTGCGACACGTGGATCCATTAAGCGGGGTGCGACGACTCCTCGAAAATAGACCTTGGATAACAGATCGCGAATAACTCAATGGTATGGACAACAATGGCCAAGGTGGGTGGGAAAAGGGTCGCTCACGCGATTTTTACATCTTAAACGTTAAGCCCTACTATGGCGGCGAATTACATTTTTTTAAATTTTATTTCTTAATATCGATGTGTTTTGCTATCTGGCCATGATTTTCATGGGACATTGATTCCCTCATTTCCGACCCGATACGTCCCAGTTCCCACGGGATTCGTTCCCCTGGCGGTACCGCCGGAAATAAAGGGATCACTTTGGGCTCCGATGACGAATTGGGCTGCATCATCCCTTATCACTGGGAGTAGCCCAATTTTTCCGGATTAATGAAGTCACCTTCGATCGATGTCATCGTCGATAGACTGCGATGCGAGATTTGACGGTAACGCGGGTACCGGCAACCGGGATTATTTTATTAAGGATATATAATTGAAATTTACGCGGCATTTTATTTATAGCCACAATTAATAATTCCCTCTTTATATCCGCGGATCGTTCGCCGCGTTTCACCGAGGGTCTTCGGCATTCGGGGGGACATTTTCTGTCGGGAAAATTCGCCACGTGATATTTTTACCGAGTGTAACGAGGTCCCTCTATTTCTGCCGGAATTCCAGCTTCCACGTCCTCTCCCTGGACCGCGTCTTCTCTCATCCTCTCGTTCCCGTTTCCCTCTGCACCCTTCGACCGCTTTTCGTCCCTTTTTTCCCTCCTGGATGAAGGTTTTCAACGCCTCCCTCCTCTAAGGACCCTTTTTCTTTTTTTTTTTTTTTCGACGGAGGTGCGAGAAACACGTCGGGAAGAAAGTGCACAAATAAACCGCGAGTTTTCGCCCCCGATTCGCGGGAAGAAGTGGGTGGAGTGGGTGGGAAAATTTCGGGAGGGGCTCCGACAAAATTAGGATGGAACGGAAATTTCGAGGCAGAGTCGGGTACAGGTCGGCGAGATGTGAGATACGAGTGTCATTTTTAATGGGACAGGACTTGCTGACTCGACGTCATGGTCACCTGGATAAGCGAGCTTATCAGCTTTATTAGCATTATCAGCGTTTGGGTACCCGGGACGTGACGCACATTTTCACACGTTCCAGAACTCGATCCGCAACATGGAGTCCGGGTGAGTTTCCCATTTCCCGGATTGTTTTACTCCACATTTTCCCAAGCAGCTCAACAGTCTGCACGGTTAACGCATTTCCTCGACGAGGCGAGCTTTATCAGCCGTAAAACTTAAGTTGGAAAACAGATTTCCTAGGACGGGAAAACCGACTAGAATGTCGGTGATTTATTGCCATCCGAGTTTTGCCATTTTTACGGTCACTGCTTGAATTATTAATTTTTGCGACGCTGTTGCAGGACGTTTATGTGATAAAAAATTAAAAAAATTATTTTTTTTTCAAGCGATCACGGAAGGATTTAATGAGTAGAGGGGATTAGTGATAACAGACACCTCGATGACTGGTTTTCATGATTTCTATAATTAATGATTCTTGGTTTTTTTTTTTATTTAATTCCCTGGTTAATAACGCTGAGTGAAATTTTGACGTCGGGGGCGCTCGATATTAATCACGATATTTCGGCATCGAAAAAGTTTGTACCGGTGGCAAGTTTTAATTAAATTACTGACCCCATTACTTTCAGCTTTAATTAATTTCCCGGCCGGAGGGCCGGGGATAAATGATTCGATGAAGATACGTATATCCTGCGAATTACCTGCTGGGAAGGGAAGATGCTCGAAAAATTCGCTTACAAAATTATTAAACCTAGCGTCGCCATGTCTAGATTTAAACGAGGATTACACTCAAGCACCAGATACTTCGCATTCGCGGGGAATAAAATCCGCGATAAAATCCCTTCGGGGAGACGGGAAATATAAAATCCCGCGGAAATGTTCGCTCGCGGCGGACGGAAAATCGTGGACCAGGGGTAATAAGGTGGAAATCTGCAGAAGGGGAGGGGAATGTCAGGTGCTTTGATTCCCACGGAAAATGTCCATTTCGGTCGCGAGTGACTTTCTTTCCCCGTTTCATCCCGTACCTTTTCCCATTTTTTACGGGGGAAACGCCGCAATTTCTCGAATTTCCGCGACTCGCTCGGAAATTCCCTCGGGAGAAAGGGACGTCAAAGTTGCCTTGATTCCCTGAAAATTCCAATTTCATAATTGGGGAATAATTAATAGTTAATTTCATATGTCATAAAAAAATCTAAATGAAATATTGGGAGGATGAGGAGAATCGAAATATTCTCAGAGATGGTCGTCAAGTCCCAGATTGATTTTCAGTTGATACTAATTCCTGCCGGTAACAAGTTAAGTAGTTCCCGAGGGATGATGTTCATGTGGAGTCGCTTATTAGAGGGAACGACGTTATTATGCGCACGATTATGCACGATAACGACGTTAGATACTTCGGCCTGTTGAAAACGCCCCTTTAATATCGGTCGATCGAAGCGAACAAGTTGTTTGGTGGAGTGAACTGAAATTCTGGTTCACTCAACCTCTTCCAAAATAAACTGAAGGTATTAAATTCGATCTTGTCAATGAACCAATTTTTGTCGCCCACTCAGTGCATTAACAAAAGGGCGGAAATAAAAGTAATGAAAAATATTAATGAAAGTAAAATTAAACGCTTGGACACCCATGAATTAAAAATCTTATTTAATCCGATCAACGTGTCTTTAGGTAGAAAATAAATGTACAAATCTTTTGGCCCCGACGAAAGAGAAATTACCGGTCTTGGCGGGAGTACTCGCAGAGATTCGCAATTACTCTAATCCGAGCCGACACATTACCGGCTCAGGATTTAGCCGGTAAATCTTTGCGCGGCCAAAGGGCGGCGTATTATCCGCATTAAGGTATTGACGTTCCTTAATGTCGATATCGGCACAGAGCAGGCGTACGCGTGCGTACACGGTACGTCATGTAGCGCACGTGTAAGCGGATTACATACTCGTAGCCATTCGGATATTATCTCCTGCCCAGGACCCCGACAGGACCACGGAATGTCACTCGTTCGTCCTGTACAGTACAATGTACTCGGTATGTAGGATGTACACCTTCGAGTACACGGAATCTACCGCTGGGTGCACCGTACATAGGTAATACCCCCTATGTGCCACATATGCACTTGCACGAGGAGCCCTATTCGCGGACATTCGATCGACTTATGGGGACCCATTGTCAAGTATAATGCACGGCAGAATGTGAGCTTCGAGCTTACGGCAGCTCTTCGTGTGTCTTACCTAAATGTATATAGACTTAGGCTCATGTACTCTGTACATTGTAGGTCTGCAACTACGTGACGCTTTCAGTTCAGGTTGGCGGAAGAATTTATAAAAATCTTTAAAAATCTATAAAATTTCAATATCGTTGCTATAAATCATGGGGATTAGGAAGGAATATGTTTACTGGGATTCAATTTTTAGTTTACGTTATTTCGAGCTTCGGGGTGGGAGTGGAATATTGAAATTGGTACGCTGAAGGTGCTCGATGGTACCGAGTTGACTAGGTCGGGGTTTGGACCTAGTTTCGGGGTAGGTGGGTGGGCTCATTTTGTATGTACGCCTGGCGTATAGATTTAGAATTTAAATAATCTTTTTTTTTGCCGTATTTTAGTGATGCTGGGGTGATTATTAATCGAGAAGATGCCGGTGACGGGGATATAATAAAACGGAGTCTGGGGGTATGTGCCGCACTTGGATCGCGAAATTCCGCTGTACATAAGTGGCGTAACTGAGAGCTTCGCAAACATCGTATCTACTTGCATATTGGCACTCGAGTTGCCGCCGCGATATATTCCTCCAAAGCGAATCGGCTCGACATTGGTTCTCTCTTAAGGAAAAAGAAATCATTGGGAGCCCTTCCCATTGAGTCGCCATTAAAATGGACAGTCAAACGCCCGAGGAAAAAACGCCAAAAATTGTTCCTAAAAATGGCAGGAATTTCCCTGAAATTTACATAATGGAGGATCGCCTCCAATTTTTGAGATGAGAATTTTCCCGCCACGCGGAAACGCGGA